CGGGCGAAGACGGTGCCGCTGCCGCCGGGGAAGGTGTAGGGGTGCTGCTTGCGGAACACGTGGCCCACGCGGCTGCAGGGGATGATCTCCAGGCTGCCCCCGCACTGCCACACGCGGAAGGAGATCTCTGTGGGGAGAGGCAGCGTGACCACAGGGCTCCCGCTCCCTTCCTCGCTGAAATCAGTACAAAGGTATTAAAACAAAAAACTGCCTGGGCAGCGTGGCTCAGTGGTTGGGCGTCGACCTAGGAACCAGGAGGTCATGGGGGTCAGGGCACAGGCCCGGGTTGCAGGCTCGATCCCCAGTGGGGGGCGTGCAGGAGGCAGCCGATCCACGATTCTCTCTCATCACTGATGTTTCCATCTCTTTCTCTCTCCCTCCCTCTCTGAAATAAAATATATTACACACAAAAAAGAATGAAAGGGAGATTGTTTATACTGATGTGGGGACTAATTATGTCCGATGAACGGTCCCTCTAGTTTTTTCCAATTGGCACCCTGCACACCACACACTCTTGCTGTCTCTTCGAGGCTGCCCTTTGCCGCGTCTGCCCCACTTGGGGGGCAGGATAAGACCCTGGTTCCGCCAGAACCGGAAACCGTTTGGTGGCGGCAGACGCGCAGCGCATACGTACCCAGGTTCTCTCCGCCCCACACGTCCATCATCATGTCGTACTTCCCCAGCTCCTCAAAGTAGGACTTGTCCATCACGAACAGCCCCCCCGCGATCATGGGGGTTCTACGGGGGGGGGGGAGGAAGGGAGTGGGAGAGGTCGTCAGCGGCACTGTCACGCCACGGCCAGTCCTCCATGCTGACCTTGTAAACAACCCCGGGGCACGGCTCTCTGCTCAGAGCCCCGGTGCCCCTCTCTGCTTTGCCACTGTCTCCACATCCTCCCCACCCGCCCTGCTAGGCGCCCCCGCAGCGGGAGGGCTGGTTCGAGCCCCGGAGGGAGTGACCCCAGTGGCTGGGTCGTCAGCGGCACTGTCACGCCACGGCCAGTCCTCCATGCTGACCTTGTAAACAACCCCGGGGCACGGCTCTCTGCTCAGAGCCCCGGTGCCCCTCTCTGCTTTGCCACTGTCTCCACATCCTCCCCACCCGCCCTGCTAGGCGCCCCCGCAGCGGGAGGGCTGGTTCGAGCCCCGGAGGGAGTGACCCCAGTGGCTGGGCCCTCACGGAGCAGCGGCTCCAGGCACGTTCTCAGCCTCTCTGTGCCCGGTGTCCTCGGAGGAGCACAACCCCCACCAGGAAGCAGGCAGCGCCCGTAGGACATGCCCGTCACCATGCCCGTCTCAGCCGGGTCAGCAGGGCCCTGGGGTCGCGGCCACGGGGTCAGGGCCGTGGAGCAGGTCCCTCCTCTGTCTGATGGACCTGCAGCGTCTCGTTCCCACAGCCTGGGAGGGGCTGACAGACGTCTACAGAGCCCCCCTCCCTCCCAGCAGAGATGCCCTGAGGACCAGCCCAGCCTCCCGGGCTGGGAGCCCCGGGGAGATACGCTGGGCCCCAGGGAGGGTCCCTCACTCCTGCTCCGAGGGGCGGAAGGGCACCCCGACTCCCAGCGTGGGTCCTGGCCCGGCCTGGGAACCTGAGCGCCAGGTGTGAATGAGGACAAGCGGCCTCCTCTGTGGGCAAACAGGAGAGCAGGTCGGACAGGAAAAGGCAGCAGCCGGGGCCTCCGCTGGGCCCTGCCCCTCCTCCCGGGTCCCTGAGGTCAACCCCGAGACCCCGGCGGCTGCGGGAAGTGCTCACGTTAGGAACCGGAGGGCACCCCGAGCGGGCGGGCCTGCCTGGCGGGGGCCTCCCGGGG